CAGGGAACCAGGAAAATAATTGCATGAGCTGGAAATCAGCCCCCAGTCTCGCATGGAAATTGACTGATAGCGCTATAACACAAAATTCGTCAATTGTCTTCCCATAATCATCAAATCCTGATAATTAATGGAAGTCGGTAAAAATTGGAATTGTGTCAATGTTATTACTTTCTACTAATATGGGTCACTTTGTCATGCCTTCATAAAAATGTTTAGATTTTTAAAGCTAAGTTTGCAAGCATTATGGCCACTCTATATATTAATAGTTTTCTAATTGTTTCCTTGCATGGAATGAGAAAAATAATAACTCAAAAAAATTCATTGACTCAGATCTAAGTTGGAAAAAAATTACAATAAAACTAAACTTTTATGATTTTGTTAGATTTTTATTAAATACTATCTCAGTTTTTTTTCTAAACTGGGGAACAGGGGCGAGCACCCTGATACTCTCGACTGGCGCCCTCTTACCAAATTGTCAATTGAACTTTCAAGTCATAAATATATTTCTTGAGACGCACACTTCCGTGCTGCCGTACAAGATGAAATCTTTCTCAAATATATTTTTTTCTGTGAAAACTTCCCAGCAACATCAGCTGACAATGTGTCTGGACACCAAATACACTAAAATTACTCCAAAAATATTTCAATGGTGATAGATACACCGTAACCTTCTGATATGGCATTTCCAGGTCGATCCGCCATTTTGTTTCTGTGCGAGAACCAAGAGTTCTCGACTGGATGACCTTTCACCCACAGGCACAGGAGCTTTGACAGGAAGGTCACTTGTTTTTCTTGATGCTTTGGCATTTAAACATGTTGTCCCACGTCTTGATGCTTGGGCATTTAAACATGTCGTCCCATGCAAGATGTTTATTATCCAAGTATTACACAGGCATCTCTGATTTGAATGTATAATAGAACCAAGAGAAACATTTGTACATAACAATTGCAAGATAGAGGCATTCTTGTATTACAGTGTTATTCATCATACTTAGTAACTAACCCAACACAACACCCTGTCTAAATCAATATCCTCTGTTAACCTGCGTTAAATAGGCGACATTGACAAACACATGACTTTTCAACTTAAATTTATAGATTATACAGCATTTGCATTTTATAATTTTTTAATCAATATACATGGCGGGAAATTTCACTTCTGCCCCAGTTTTTTTTTTCATTCTTTATTTGTTTCCATTGTGCAGGCTCTAAATTCAGAGAGGCCATGAAGGCAGTTGCCTTGTTGTTACCCAACGTGACTGCCACAATGTCGATGAGACAAGGGCATTTTCAGAATTTTTTGCCTAGAAATGAGTACCATCACGATTCTAAAGTTCTAGCCCTGTTACATAATAACTCTTTAACTTTTCAGTTTGCTCTACTTTTTTTTTCTTGAAAAATGATTATTAGCTATTGTCGTTGCACAATGTGAGTAATTATTGTTACTTCATTTTAAAATTACAGCGATTAAAACAGTACCGTACCATACACTATTTCATTTTCTTTGTTTACTGTTTGAGCACATTGAACTGACGTTTATTGTGCATATCGCCACATTTAGTGTGGAATATCAGTGATGTATTTCGCACTAAGCACAACTACCGTACTGTGAATGATATGAATCGTGGTCATGTGATAATGCACAATATAGAAGCCAAGGTGAAAACTGAACTTGCTGTGATAGCATGCATACACTGAGTGCCTGAGCTTATACATAATATACCGGTAGTCTGATAACTAACAATAAACATCACCGGCTGTACACACTATTGGCAGTTGCCACTGTTTTATATTTCTTTTGAAAAATTTGTTCTCAAACGCGTCTATACAATCTTTGTGTGTATACTTAACAATGAAAGATCTGACTGCAATCTTCTTTCTATAACCTGCTTTTACAATGCTTTCAGTACAGCATAATCAAATTCAAAGAAACCTATCTTCTTCTGGCAGTACAGACATTATATGCACTGCTGTATTTTACATTGGCCTTAGTTAATATTACTATTACAATGAGATTTTCTAAAGTAAAAAAAAAAATCCCCTGGCAATCTTGTATTCTAATTATATGCAAGCCCTTGGTTTATGCAGTGTTCTCCCTAGTGATTTACTTTCAAGTATTTCGCTTGATTTTGTCACAGTCCCTGTGATTTTGTGGAAGAAACGCCCAATTGACACATAATTAATATGCTAGTTAGCTGTGCACATATTGGTGTGGACACAGTCCCTCTAGGGACTGTGGTGTGGAGAACACTGTAAGTGTTAAATATTCAATATTCTGTTAATGACTGTTAATTTTCAGTAACCATCATTGCTCTAGTAGAGGTGCATGTGATTACATAAAATATCATTTTTTTAAAAATACGATGGTGTGTAGCATTAGTCAGTGTGAATTGATGTACACGCCAAGATAAATAGTTTTTGGCTCACATGCCTTTATTGAAGATGCACTGTTCATAGAACAAACAACTCACAATATAATTTTAAACTATCTTTTTAAAGCATGGCTCTGCAATCCTGTAATTTGAATGGCCCTCCCATTGTTTGCTATGTATACAATCATTATCAGAGGTGTTGATCCTGTCTGCTAATATATCACTTACACCTTAGTCTGCCTTGAAAGAATTTATTGTAACTACCATCAAAACTGTATTATACAAAAATGTATACATATTCATGATAGTATAGAAGAGAAATATAAAAGACTCTATGCCAGGATCACCTTGAGTGCGAGTTGCATACAGAAATCTATTTGCCAGCTTCTTCCATTTACACCCTGAGCCAGGGGTTAAAAATGTTGAAATTTTAGTATAAATGAAAATTTGCATGAGCTGATTTATAAATAGCTTGTATATTATCCAAAGTAGGTGGTCATTGGACAGGCTGCTGACCAATTTCTACATCAATTAAGTACACAAGTTTGAATGTCAGAGACACTAACTAAATCACTAGTTTTACTTTTTTGTAATTTAAAATTACAATGTACTGTACTTGTTCATTATAAATATACCGGCAGATAGGAATAAGATACATTTGGCAAGATATAAAAAGGTATAGTGGATTTTAAATGTGGCTGCAATACTAAGGAACCTGATGGTAGCATTTGTTTTGACTATCTGTGGTATCAAAATGTAAATATACAGAGTTTTACAATTCAGATAGACCTGGAATCTATGGAGGATATGCACTTAATGTAAATCTTAACATGAAGCCTTAATACATGGAGTACAATCAGTAATTATTTACAAGGATCAAAATTGAGGTCTTTTCATCATTGCCAGACAGGCAGATTTTAGCTGGAACAAGTAAATTTACAAATTGTCTGTTTCTGTGGACAGGTATAGTACCTTAGCAAATGACTAATTTTCACTGGGTTTGAATTTTGCTGATTTACCAATTCATGCATATTCAGTGGGTTTTAAATTCACGGTTTCGTCATTTAGATAATGTGTTTTATACTAAATTTTACATATTCACTGTGTTTTAATTTAGCGCATTTTTCAGTCAGCGAAATAAGCAAAATTACAACCCAGTGAATAATTAATCCCTTTACAGTACTGTAAAATACTTTATTTTAGCTGGAATAAATATTTATTTTTACTGATTTTTGACGAGTTAAAGGTAAAATATAGAAAAAAAAGTATATATTTTATTTTCAGTGAACCATTCCTCCAGCGAAAATAAAGCATTTTACAGTAAACAAAAATATCAAGTTTTTACAATCATCCAAAGTAGTTAATGTCCAGAAAATTGCTTTCAGAATTTTTAGGACTTATAAAATAATAATTCAAGAATGAAAATTGTATTTCAAATATTATGTCTCAATTTATCTTGCTAGGAATAGGTAAATGTATCATTAAATCGGACTTGTATAAATGACAAGAGATGCAATTTTTTTTTGTACTCTTCTATTGGAGATGTGCTTGTAATAGAACAAATATGGTATGACTTATTTTGTCCTTAAACCTACATGTACCTTTCGCCTATATATGCGAGTATATGCAATGCTGATAGAGCAGACATTCAACAAATACAGTAAAGTGGTAACGAACATAAACAACTACTAATAAATTTCTAGTTTTATGACTAAACGAGACGCTTTATTGCAGTCAGCTTTGCCTAATGTGTTTTGAAACATTGGCCGGTCGATATCACAATTATTTTCATTTAATTTTGTTATTCTATGACATCAGTAAATGTGATGTCAAAATGGTGACTTTATTATGTTGTTCAAATCGCATGATTTATTAAGTTTCTAGTGCTACACTGTAAATTATACATGGTTCTGGTGTTTTGTGTGTAAATAGTTTTTTTACAACATGGTTCCTGGTGACTGTTTTGACATTGAAAAGTTATCGAAGGTGTTGCTTTATATCGGTAGTTATACTATAGAATTGATTGTTTGCATGTGATTGTTTAAATACTCATTTATGGAAACAATGTTTTATGTATTTTATATTAATAATAATGCATTTGCTATCATATTTACATGCACACAAAAATGAAATGTATTTTTGATTCACATTTATGTCTGAGGTATGTCTATTGAATGCATCTGTGCTTGTGTTTAAAGCGAGGGAGTCGTCACCTGCGAATGCGTCAGATGGCCATAGCATGTCTATGTTTACAAACAAGCATCTACCCATGATCCTTTACTGCATTTTTCGCGTGTGTTGTTATTGTCGCTTAAGACTCAATTCCCGTGCGTGTGCAGGTGATGACGGATGACCCTCCCGCTTTAAGGACTTGTCAGTAAGACGAGGTCTCTGATAGTTTCAATAATAGGGGTAGTAAAAATTGCCCATTCTTCTCAAGATACACACAAATCTGCATTTCTAAAACTGAGTGTTTAATTAATGCATTAAATCCCAGGTGTACTATAAAAAAAATATTATATTGATTTTAACGTTGATAACAATTCTATAAATGAATACAAACATAAATTGATCTTTGGCGTCGGTCATTGTCGTAATTTTGATGAAATTTATTTTATTTATTTTCAGATAAATCTTCGTTTGATCCTTGTGTCAGGCAAAACAAAAGACTTCTTTTTTTCAAGTAATGATTCAGCGGGTGATATAGCACAACATGTATATGAAAATTGGCCGCCAGGTAAGTTGTCGTGATGTAGCAAATACCTAGTTATTATAGTTATTAAATGTAGATGCCGCTGTGAAAACCCTGGCTTTGGGCCACACTGTAATTCAGCCAGACATTATGGCTGCTCCCAAAGCTGAGAAAAAAATCACATGGCTCTTGCATTCATTTTTGATGAGGAAAAATAGAATTTCCGTTTTTTTTCTTCTTCGCATCTCCAATAAAAGCACATCCAAACTAAAAATTGCATTTGTTGGAAATTGAATCATTAAAATATTTGAATATATTCTGAAAGAGCAAATACAGTATTTTAAAATGTTCGAAGAGAGAAGTACAAATAATGAAAAATATTTTAGTTTCCATGGCAATAAGTCGTTATATTCCTGTCTAGTTTAATATACATTTGTCATTTAGACTAATAGTTATTCTGATAGCGGAATGTAATTTCTGAATTCGCTTGTACTGAAAATGTATATAGGAACGTGTCCATTGAGTCTTGAGTGTACCTTAATTACCATCTTACCTTCTGTCTTGCATATATGTATAAATAATAACAGACTGATTTACACATGCTTTATTTCTTGAATGCTTAAATATCTAACCGATCACGATATAAATCTGCATTATTTTCTTTGCAGTTCCCTCATAAAATGAGACAATATGCCTATTTAGAAATTACAGTAAAATAAAACACTTAAATGTGCGAAGTGTTAATGTAAAGTTTAGCTTTGAAAGGTTTTAATTTATTTCTTTGTGGTTTATCATAAGCCGGTGAAATGGTGACTACTATGCATATTTAATAGGGCCAGATTTTAAATAAATTCTGTGTTTCGGTAACCCTACCTAGCCATACTAATGGGAAAATTGGTTTTTATTTTTTAGTGAATGAGCCCCAAATTTGTCATTTCTATGCAAAATAGCTATGGTAATTTCTCCAGTTTCGTAATTTTTGTTTTCATTTACTTTTTTGTTCTGAATGACTAGCACTTATGTAGATGAGAGAAATAATATCCTAAAACTAACTTAGATGTCTTTTTTTCCCTCATCCTCAATTCTTTGGGGAAGATAAAGTATAATAATAAAAAATACTGGAAACCTCAAGTTTTTTTTCATTTGGCCTAATATGTACGGTATATTTTTCTTTTGAGTTTCATTGCCTGTTTTGTTTCATTTGGCTTATTACGAACTAAATTGCATATTCTGCTTCTACCGTAGAAGTGTATAAATGACGAAAGCTTGGTTTACCGTGAAACATACAAGACTTGGGTAATGATTCAGCTTACAAACAATACAATGTTGTTTGTATTTGCTTCTGTTAGAGCTGAGATCTGTTGACAGACTTGGATCCCTTCATTTTGGCTATAATTATTTTATAATTATTTATTGAAAAGATTGTACTTGATAATAAGTTATTTCTATACAGATTTGTACATTATGAATGAATGAGATATTTCCAATCATGGCTATTCAATGTTTTCTGAATAACACTGCCAAGGCTTCTCTCTATTACACTCTTGTTCCATTTATTTGCACTGAATTCCAACAATATAGAGTAGCATTCATTACTTACACATTGTTTACCTTTTCTTGACTAATAACTGACTCCTTTTGTGACAATTGATTAATGGTCATTAGTAGTTTGTGACATGTGTCCTTGTCAACAATCTGAGGAATTTGATATCTTTGTTGGTAGGGTGTTTCTTTTTAGAAAGGTATTTGTATTTTTTCTGTTGCAAAAGGAGTTCACATGGTCAGTTTCAGACTTGTGAATCACCCAACAAATAATTTCACAAGAAAACAACATTCAAATTCCCCAGATTATGTCTTACTGTGAAGTGTCTTCCATTCACTTTCATAATTAAGTTTTGAAATAGATAGTGTTGATCAGACTTTTTAGTGTCTGTTGATATTGAATTGTACACCTGTAGATATGATCGTGGAAGCCAAATAAAGAGTACTGTGGATATCCATTTGTCTGATGTATCATAAACTTGTATCTATAATCTTCTATGTAATGACTGATGCTAGATCATAGATCACATTAAGTTAGATGTTTGGGCAACACTTTGCCTGTCATAATACTGTAAAATGCTTTATTATAGCTGGAATTAATTTTCGTTGAACAGATTTTTTGGGTGTTATGTATAAAATTATGGATAGCATGTTGGGAATGACTGGGTAATGTATTGACTGGCATCACTTATACTTTGTGATCCCAAATCTGATCATCTCATACTGTGAAATACTTTATTTTAGCTGTAATTAATTTTCGCTGAAAAGGCTTTTTGGGCGTTTTGTATAAAATTTATTTTCACTGATTTTTGACGAGTTGAATGTCAAATATAGGAAAAAAGGTAGATTTACTGGATTTTATTTTCACAGAATCTCCCTTCAGTGAAAATTAATTCCAAGCGAAAATAAAGTATTCTACAGTTATTATGCATAACCTAAACTACAAGAATATTGGAAACTGAACAACAACCTTGACTAAATAATTATTCTTTTGTGAAGAATTGGTCGAATCTTGAAATATGTGAATAAAATGATTGCTTGTATGTAACCTTCTAAAAAATGTGAGTTGTTCTAATTTATAGAATGGGAAGAAGACTCTGTGAATTCGCCTCATATCCTACGCCTTATTTACCAAGGAAGATTTCTGCATAGTAATGTTACTTTGGGAGGTCGGTACAGCTTCTTAGTATTCTTAATATCAATGTTTGTCCCACACTATTATGTTTCACAATGGATCTAAGCAGCCTCCTCATATATGGCACGATTACAAAAACTGTAACATGAAATTTTGCATGTATTCCTTGATTTAGAGGCATCCTATCATTGTCACTGCATGTACATGTGGGCAAGTCCCCACCTTACACGGATATACCTTACTAGTAAATGGATAACTATTTTTTCTTAGGCAGGGTTCTTTATAGTTGCTGAAAATGCTGACCAAGTATTTACAATCATAAATACACTTGACTTGCGAAATTTTACCTATACCAAACAGAATATCAAATTTATAACTTCACAATATTATATTTATTTACTTGATGCACTTATTCAATTAATATGATGATGTGGAGTTACTCATGAGATATCTTGTATACCGGGTATATTATAAATTACATATACTGAAATGCCTATTATTCTGTTAATGAAATTAACAAGCCATTTATTTACATATCAATGTCCTAGTCGGGCAGTATGGAACAAAATTGAAACTAGTCAGCGAGTTTAAATCAGCTTTTGATGTATAACTTCTCTTTAACATTTGATTTGAAAAGATTCTGGAATTGCGAAAATGGTTGAATTTGATCGTTTTTATTTAGCCTTAAAATGGACACCACTTGGCTATCTTGAATTGGATGTTGAAACAAAGTGTGACATGATGTATTAAGCATTAGTGAAGTTTGAACATCGCGAGTCAGAGATATGGCTCTGGAACAGCAATCATTAAACAACATGACCACTAGTTTGCCATTTTAAACTTGATTGGAAAATCAAAATAATATGCAATTATAAGTCTGTTTTTGGACTTTGTCCAAACAGGTATTACTGGTAACATATTATTAATAGAACACAATTTGAATGGCTACAGAAAGTACAAAGTAATATGTATTAAGATGTTTACATGTAGGCTGGTTAACTGAAAAACCCATATCTGCTCATCTGTGTGGTTTGGGTTCAGACTAATTTTGAAATAGTCATTTGACAGTTACTGTACTTTGTAAATAAACGTATCCAGTTAAAAAAACGAAATCCTACTGCCTCAGATTTCCACTGAATGTCATAAACATAAGGGCAAATAAAATAAATTACTGGGCAGGCAGGCTTTTTAATCTACTATCCCCCAATGAGTTGTACTCTTAGGTATGTTATTACTCAGAACATCATCATGATTTCACTACAGATGAGAAAAATTACATCCACGTTAGTTTTCATGATATTATTTCATTCACAACATAGAAGGAAGTAACCAAAATCAAAAACTACAATATTTTACTAGAAACTTACACATATGAATATACAATCCTTCTGTATTCCTTACTTGTGATTCATCATTTTGGATATAACCACCGGATACACTCATTCGTGATGATGTCATACTTGTTCTGAATGCAAGATGGATTATATACAAAGACAACACACATTAGGGAGTTCAGTGAACAACCTTTCTCCCCATACTGATCAGTAAATCTGTCTATGTAGTCAAATATTGCTTATCTACACTTCTGAGTCTGTATTTTCTAGTGTGATTCACACTTTTTATAACTAATCTCAGAATTATAAATCGGAATGAATTATTAATAGCACCCTTGATTCAAATGAAGTTCGGATAACAAATCGGATAGTCAATGGTATGGTAATTAAGGTTTGTCTGTAATTTTTTAAGATAATAATGGAGGAGTGGGGATGTCACTGCTGGTGATAAAAACACCCTAGGTGATGTATCATTATGCAAGTGGTGACAGTTCAGTACTAACTTAAGGGTTCCACTTGTTCATGTATACTTGAAACTGGTCAATGACAGAATTAATTAAAAATTACCTATGCACACACAACTTATTTAAAATATACTTCCTCATACATACTAACAGCTGAACAAAGTATTTATTGTACATAACACAGTTGTTGTCAATAAATCTATGATTTTTCTATGATTTCAGAAGTGAAAACTATAATAATAGTTAAGCAAGAATTCACCATTTGTGAATACCGGTACATATGATGGCTGAATGAGCCACATATTGATTGAACATTTTCTGTTTATTCTTCAATGTTTTTTTATCATTTCTCAAAATCATAATTCTGATATGGTTTATTTCTACAGCTTTACAGCTACCAACTGGTAAGACAACAGTAATGCATTTGGTTCCAAGGGAGAATCTGCCAGAACCCAATTCACAAGGTATCTATGATTATTCCTTTTTTATTACGGGACTATCGGGTGATATTTGTAATATAGAAGGAAATTTGAATTATAATAGAAATGAAGCTGATTAATTTCAAACAGTATGATAATTGTACTGTACATTCATTAATCATTCACTAATTTTTAATTTTGCTATTTTCACTATAAAATCTGCTGAATTAAATCCACATAAGCATGTAAAATAACAATTCATGGACATACCCAAAACAACATCAAAATAGTGAAAATATCAGTAAAAATAATTGGTAGCTAACAGATTTTGTTTTAATGCATCAGCGTATAAAAGATTCCATGGATAGCCAAAATAAATGAGAAAAAATAGCTTTGACAGGCAATGTGTTGAGCTCTGTGTTCTCCCATACTGTATGTACCAGCATTGTAAGTTATTTACTTATAAATTTTCATTGTAATAAACACAATTAGCATATTATTAGAGCATATAAGTACTTAAAAGGCCCTGGGAGAACAATGCATCTTCACTCATGCATTAATAAATAGATCAGAAAAAAATATTCTTCCTGATTGAGAGGAAGACAGGGAAAAATATTCACTATTTTGATTTTTGCTATCATGATATACATTGTACATACATGATTGTAACTTGATATGATATAGTGGCAAGAACTAAATAAATAAAAAATACAGGCCATTCATCTTGTATGTAAAAACTGCCTTCTGACCTCTATTTCATTGACCTTGTAGTTATTTTAAGAAAACAGATGAAGTTGGCTCTGATATACAGATAGAGTCCTTGAATATCTGGTGTCGGCTCGGTTACCATTGTGACATCACATCCTTGAATATCTGGTGCCCACCGGTTACCATAGTGACATCACATTGATTGTATAATGAACCTTTGTGAAAGTATTACTTGTGTTCTTGCAACTTCTTGCAAAAATATGATAGATCCATACTTGATTGTCATCATGAATGTGCTTTAAAGTAGGTAATTTGTCAGATTGAAGGGCAGAAACAGGTGATTACTATCAATATTATCAATACATAATTCCGTTAACCTTTGAAAGGGCGTTAAAAACGAATGAAAAAAAATGCCCAAAGGTTATTAGAATGGCCATTGCAGAGGATGAATTGAAACCATGGTAACTAGATCATTATAAAATCAGAGTTCCACTATTATTGGTTTTGTCTATTTGCTAGCATATACACATTTGATGTAAACTTCACGTTTCAGTTTTGGCATCTACCGTAAGTAAATGTAATGGTAAATGTGTTGAAAACATAATAAATGTGATGGACACTAAACTTAGTAGTTTATATAAACGCATACACGGCTCATAGAGCATATACGGTAAATCCCTATAACTTGAGTTTAGAAAGCTACCAGTCACATTTATTTCTAAGTCATTTCTGAAATATGTGTGATATTGATTTGGGGATTATGTTTACAACAATATCATAAGATACTATAGAATATATGTATTTATCACAGACAGAACACCTAAACCTGTCCCAAACTAAGATGTCTTGCTTAGTAGTCCAAAGATGAAATTTGGTTTACCGGTACACTACATTTATCCTAGACGAGTGGTGGTGTTATAGCAAAGATTTATTATCTTCCATGTTCACTCCAAGATTATATCTTTTTTACATCATGCAATACCTTTTTTTACGTGCAAGCTATATTCCCTACAACGAGACAATTCACTGAATGCTGTATATTGTCATGTACTTGGTTGTCCATTCCAGATCTGATCAATACATTGATTTCCTGAACACAGCACTTCTGAATTAATCAATATATATTGAATTGCAGTGGTTCTCACATCGCACATACACAAGTTAGGGGTCCCATATACTAAGTAAACAAAGATGGCAATGCCCATAGAAAAAAGACTCTACCAAGGTTCTGTTATGTAATTTCTGCCCGTGCAAACCTTGAAGGATTGGAAGAATCAAAGTTGATATTCTGTAAAACATGTCTTTTTCGCAAGCATGTCTTTTTAGCGAATTTAGCGAGAGCACTAATTCGCTAATTTAAGATGTCGCTAATGACTAAATTCAAAATGGTGGCCAAACCACACATGCACTTTGTAAACAACACAGAAAATGTAATAATCTGGAATGCTTCCTTATTACACTGGGCAATTTTTCTTTGTTTTTATGGAGGTGATAACTGCGCATTTGTTTTGGCACGCGACGGATAAGTACTGTAAAATGACTAATTTTCACTGGATTTAAATTTCGCTGATTTACCATTTCAGGCATATTCAGTGGGTTTATTCACGGTTTTATCATTTAGGTGATGTGTTCTATGCTAAATTTTACATATTCACTGGGTTTAAATTTAGCGCATTTTCCAGTAAGTGAAATAAACAAAATTAAAATTACAGTATTGTGAAAACAGGAAATCAACAAAAACAAGAGAGATTCGCTAAATCAACATTTCGCTATTGTCATTTTACCACAATTTGCTAAAATAGTATGTCGCTTTTTCAACATGTTTTACAGTGGCTTATAGCTGCCAGATCAAAAGGAAGATTGCATTGGGTTGCACATATTGATTATATGATGATCACCGCCATTTAAAGGTTCGTGTGAACATATGTCATACACTTGCCACATAAATATATTTCTCTTCTTTATTTACAGGACAAACAAAGCGAGGCAAAACAGAAGAGAGTAACTGCTGTGTTATACTGTGAAAAGAATATATGAAAAAAACAAAAGTTAAATAAAAGATAATTTACATAGTATTGATGCAGATGCTGTTAATGGTGGTGATATATATGTATAAACAGTTGACTACTTAGTACTAAGACTATCATTCAAATAATATAAAAAAAACAAAGACAGAGCTAAGATTATTCTTTTTTCGGTTCATGATACGCATATTGATAACTAAGTAGCCCGGAAAGTTCATGGACAAATACAATTATAATCAGATATAGAGAGTCCATTTAAAATATGACAATGCTACTAAGTAGTAATATGAAAAAGACAAACTTGTGTCTCAGGTCCACCTGTGAGGGCATGTGCCGGTACTCAATTTAGTAATTGTCTGGTAGATGTCACTTCAGTTGAAAGAAAATCGGACAAGCAACAAATTTTATGTCAAACTTCATATTGTTCAACACATTAGGCATCAGTTTGTGCCATTCACTTCATCCAGTACCGTAGGTGGATTTTTCAGGACCCTTTAAAAAAAAAAAAAGTCGAAAAGACATTTTCTTATTTTGCCATTTACATTTTTTGTGGGTATACATTGTTTTTTTATGGTGAGGGCACGTGTTATTTCCACAGTTCAGGGAGACTATCCTAACCAGGTATTAGCTATATGAACACCATGCTTAAATTACTTTAGTAGAATTTACTGTAGTGTTAGAAATAACAATTTGAAAAGGGTTTCCGTAATATACAAGCATAACCTAGCTCTGTCTTTTGTTCTTAAGAAAAAAAAAATTGAATATTAAACAAAACCATAAACTGAGAGATGAAAAGAAAAATTATAAATATCTTTTATTTGAATAAACTTTGTTTAGCATTTGTAAAAAAAATATTGATATGAAAAGATTATACACGTTATACAAGTCAGATTGCAATTATTACTGTATCTTTAATTGACTTGTTTCTTTTAATGTAAAAGAAACATCTTACTGTATCTCTGTTTTAGACATATAATTGGGGAGGGAGGGGTTTGAAATTGTGAGAGATTTAAGGGATGTTTTCCTACTTTGTACATACATACTTTGTACACTTGTAACTTGCTGTAAATGTTTTAATTTTATGGTATTGAGTGATATTGGAACCCCAAAGAACTTCTACAAAATATTGTGATTTTCACTTATTTGTCTCTCACAAATTAAACCATCTGAGCATCAAAGTCAAAGGCACATCTACAAAAAAGTTTATTTTCCAAAGATAATGCTGATAAAAACTTTTTTGTCTGTTTGGTCCATAATTAAGATTGAATTTAGTGATAATCACATAAAATGTGAACAAATTTACTTCATTTTGACAGAAAAAAAAATTTGCGCCTAAAAGGGTTAATACATTTCACAGTATGCTGTTAACAATGTCAGGTATAACTAAGTGTTTGATAGAAGTGGAAATTTGAAAACAGTTAACTAGAGTGCAAAGTTGTGTTGGTTGTGACACTTGTGATGTTGTTTAATTTATGTGTGCAATCACTGTTGCAGCACATAAATTTGAATCAATGAGGAGTCAACTTACAAGGCTGTGTGTGATTGGCTACTTGACCCTAACACCTAACTGTCGGACCAATCAGAAAATAGCTTGTTTGTTGACAGTTTTACAATTCGAGGGGGAGTTGGTACACTCTAATACATTGCTCATTAGAGATTAGAAGAGATGTCCTAGCCACCCAAAAGTTAAATACTGATCTATCCCTAAATACAGCTGGGAATGGATGCTTTCTGTCCAATCCACCAGCTGCATTGTGTTTACTCACAACGTTCGCCAGACAACTGTTTTCTCATTTCTCCAACTTTACCATGTCCTGTAATTATTATCAACCAGTGGTCTTACCGCATACAGTACAAGGGTCTTAATACTACCCAATATTGTTCTATTGTGCTAATAATAATACGGTACTTCTCTGTTCATAAAAAAAAAACTTAAAAAAAAAATACATAAAATGCCAAATGACTGTTTGTGTTACTTTGTACAACATTTGATAATGTCTGTACGGTACTTCTTTTATGTGGTTGTTGTGATTTTTTGACTTAATTGGTTGCCAGTGTATAGAAGCCTACATACCCAAGTGTGTCCACCCTTACATGCACACAACGCATGGACATTTCATCTCGCTTGGTAATAGACAAATTCACAGTTATATCACTATTGATCCACATGAGCATGGGATGTACTGTGTAGCAGTGTTCATTCTTTTTTGTTGACACCAAGATTTTCCCGATTGCTCTGGAAATTGATATGTCAAATATTTCTGCTGATAGATGGCAATGGATAGCATGTTGGGAATGACTGGGTAATGTATTGACTGGCATCACTTATGCTTTGTGATCCCAAATCTGATCATCTCATACTGTGAAATACTTTATTTTAGCTGTAATTAATTTTCGCTGAAAAGGCTTTTTGGGCGTTTTGTATGAAATTTATTTTCACTGATTTTTGACGAGTTGAATGTCAAATATAGGAAAAAAAGTATATTCGCTGGATTTTAATTTCACGGAATCATCCCTTCAGCAAAAACAGCGAAAATAAATTCCAAGTGAAAATACAGTACTTTTAACCTGCAATATATTCAGTGGTAATGGTTATCATTACATTTTTTTTTTAAATATATTTTTGTGCCAGGCGACAGTTCCGGACATTGAGTGTCACTGTTGTCTCTCCTGACAACTTTTTTTTTTTTCTGTATGTGCAAATTGCAAGTGCTAGTGATGACACATAGTGCATTTTGCCACAGAAGTCGTATTCATGTTTGGGACTACATGACTACAGGGCTGTGTGGCCATCTCTCTGTCAAATGGCAATTGTATTGCGCTATCCTGGTGTCAACCAGGCCCGGTCGAACACAAGCACCTGCGGACCATAACCAAGGTTCCCCCAAAGTCGCATTCGTTAGTGAATAAATCTCGGCCAGTGGAATTGGCCTGCCCATTGAGTCTGTGGCACACTCACCCAGGGTAGGGGTCGACCCTTTGATGTTCAGCCTAAGGTAGGATTTGAACATGAGTCTGATGCGACAACCACTATGCTACCAGTGACCGGTTCATTACATTTATTATTAATATGGGAACTGCTTTTGATGATGTATGGTATGCCAAGTGCTTGAATCAAATTTTTTTGTTTTCATCCAAGTAATTCATTTAACTCAACATAACATTGGTATCTCTACAACACACTTGTATATTTTTAACATAAATTGGAGTTGTTCACTGTACGTTCTATAAAAAAAAATCAACTTGATGAAACTTTTTCAGGTTGGCTTTCAAGGAGTTTTTCCTTCAACCTCCTATAGAAACTATTTTGCCACCTCTGAACTATTTTTTGTTGCTTCTATTTTCATTGTGAATCTCTAAGATTTGTTTTTCAATCTATTTCAATTCTTTTTGGAACTTTGTAACTACATGTTCATATAAACAACTTTGATATTTGTGTATATAGCAGTAAGAAGCTATTACAAGCCATTATGTAATGATTGTGCTATTGTGATTTCACATTGATATTTTACTTTTAATACACCCTGTGTGGACACTCATTATGAATGTGATAATACAGGGTATCAAATGTATTCCTGAGAAAAAGGGGGAGGGATCACATCATAGTCTTTTAGATTCTATGTTGGCAGTTTTTCTTCAGCAATGTGTACATGTTAAATAGCTTCTGTATGTATGCCAGTATTAGGACTACATAGCCAATTGGCAGTGTGTATTCATAGGGGTAATATTATCACTAATATCTGTACACCCCGCCCTACTTTTTATAGTAGCTCTACATCTTTCTGGATAAAGGCTAGGAAATGTACAGAAATATTTTAAAACTATTTATGATTAAAAATAGAAATAATTGTATTATTATTTGTATACGAGTTTTGAATACTGGTCAGAGAAATGTTTTTTTATCAACTGTTTTTGGGGGGTTGGGGACATTTTTTGTGACAGTTTTCAAAATGCAAATCATTTCTGTCATGAAGACAAGAAAAAAAAAAATCTGTTTTGGTTTGGCATCAGTGAAGAAAACTAATGCATCTAACACTCCCTTAAAAAAACATTTACCTGTTGGTTTTCTTGCATTCTAACTGATTCAACAAATATCTTGTGAGCAAATCAGAATTGGAATTGCACCACAGTTTGTAAGAAAAGGAGAGAACTTAGGTTACAGAAAAAAAGACGACCAAGGATATACAAAAACATTTTGTTTCTGAGAAGTCTCTATGTAACTAATGTTGACATTTATAACTCTTATACAATAATTAAAATTTTTTTTTCATATTTTTTCCCCCTCATTGCATCACTATAGTTGCATACAAATAAATATTGTATATATATTCTGCTTTGTGTTTGCATGCATGTTTTACGCTTACCATTAATTTTCAATTCTTTTTATTTTTGGCATATGTGTGTGCAGTGGGTGTTATATACACGGGTTAATAATATACAACATGCGAATGTTCACAGTCAAATAAAGATGATTTTTATAAAACAATATTGTTTCATGTTAAGCTGTTTTCCCACACAATGTTACTCTGGTATCTATGTTGTGTATTTTTTTTTTTGTATTTCATAAATAAATGGCCAGTAAATTACGTATGGGACTTTGGAAACATGTTCGGGTAATTCGGATAATCGGTGTTTGGTTAAATCAAGGTTTGACTGTATTGGCTTGGATTCCATAGGTTCATATGTAAAATTGAATTAAAAAAGTATGACATGGTTGCTAACCAACTGCCATTCTGGATGAGAAATATTTTTTAGCTCAGCAGTCTACTTTGTTGGTCGGAGCTTATCATATGAGTGATTGTCCGTTGTCAGTGTAAATTTTTTACTTTTTCAACTTCTTCTTGAAAACTGCTAGCTGGTTGCTTTGATACTTTGTGTATATGTTCCTTGGGTAGACCTCTCTTAGATCTTTAATTCTCTAATTTTGGTGAATATTTTTGGTAAAAAATGATATTTTCAACTTCTTGTTAAAAACCATACTGTTGACCACTCTCAGATTTGTTCATTTTGTGATATCGTCAATTCTCTAATTGAAATGTGCATTGCTGTGCAAACAGGGGAGCTATGTCAGCTGAGAGGCTGCTAAATAATTTTGACTTGTATCACTGCTCCAAAACTCCAAAGCAATCGTGATGAAGTATACCAGTCTTCTCACCTATACTAAATGAAATGTTATAACAATATGGACCATGCTTGCTTAGAAAAGGTTGTAAAACTAGATATTCTACAAATAACAAAGTGGTGGTGGTTTGATGAGATCCTGTCTTGAATGATTGAGTGTATTTTGCTTTATTCGTCCTCTCCCCACCTCACCTCCGCACGGTATACACGTGTATTTCGTCCCGTCTTCCCTAATTTCTTACTAGTAGTGTTAAATACTTATTTTGCTTGAAATTAATTTTCGCTGAAGGAATGATTCAGGGAAAATAAAAACCAGCGAATATACTACTTTTCCTATATTTTACATTAAACTTGTCAAAAATCAAGAAGTATTTTACAGTACGTGATTTGAAAATGTTTGCGATAGCACGGCTGTGTTTACTTCAGCCTTGCATGTCGGCGTGAATGGTGCCCTCACCGGCCGAACGGCATCAGAGGTTTTGAGCAACGCGGAGGGCGCAACTCACGCTATATCTTGTGTATCCTCGGGAGCGGACATCCGGGCATTTTCTACGCCTGGCAACCCTCGCGATGAAAACAAAGACCAAAACTCGCAGAAAACGGTACTTTGCGATGGTTGTTGAGAGTCCCCTGAACAGTGTAACAAGATTATCCCTACGCGTGTAACATATATGAATTTGGTTGTTCAGAATTACTTCAAAGTTGAGTTTGTGTTGTTTTCTCGAGTTTCCACCGGCGTTCCACAGCAGCGGGCACAGAGCCCGTAGAAATACGTGGTACAATGGTGCGCGTCTTAGCAACGTAGAACGTCCGTGACGTAGCTCCGCCCCGAGGATTATTCAATGCATGCTACAAAATCTTACAATAATCTCATGGAAGCCCTCGGGGGGTATCGGCGCCAGTGTTAAAATTGTGTCGTTTAAAAGGGCGGTGATCGTCGCACCGCGTTCTTTTCGATATGGGACTCATAGCGACGTATACAACGCGTGTAAAATACATTGTTTGTTTACATGAAATTCGAACACGCACACGCTATGACCGTATGTCGCATGCGCAGTTGACGACTCCCGCTTTAACTAATGTGTAAAAGAAATGTGTTTTTTCGACTGACTATGTCGAGACATGAACACAAATAAAAGTTGTTTGTCTGGTTTTGAGGACAGGCTTTACTTTGTTTATGGCGGAGTGTCGTTACCTACTCACGTGCGAGAATTGAGTCCCAAGATAAAACAAACGCAAAGACTCACGGGTAGACACGTGTTTGTAAACACGCTATGGTCGTCTGCCGCAAATGTGATACATTTCATACTGTTGGAGTCGTTCATTTTATAAACACCGCCATCATACGAATAATAGCTGCACCGGAAAATGTTATTTTCAGAGCAGCAATGATGAACACATTTACGTACTTGGCATGTAAGGAAATGTTTTGGTTTCGATGGTATGGCCTTGGATATACAAGGGGTCGGCAATGTAAATATGTTTGTTTCCGCAACACTGGTCAATAAGTCTGCAATTCTTTTCCAAGCTTAAGACATCTATACAAATTTGGTTATAGAGAAATATCTGTTCTTTAAACGCGGAAAATATTCCCAAGACTCTGCACTTTACGTGTTTTAATATCATTTATGTTGCGAATGTCTCTAATACAATCATTTGTCATGAGAGAAAAAATAAGTTTCTTCACCCTTATTAATAATAAATATCCATCATATATACAATTTATTTCACTTTTAAATTATCATAACCCTTTTGCTTTTCTGTCTTTATCAAAGTATATTTCATGGTTTCAAATTAAGAGGCAATATTATTTCTAATGTTGACTAAGGTGGCATGATCATTATTTTGTTTTTTGTAAACTGTTTGTACATAAGGACAATAATCTACGTTGGTTTGGAATTCAGGAGCGAGCCAGCGTGCTCGTCTGAACACAGTCACTAGGACATTCAGACGCTGCGCTCTGTACAACTGCTTTGTATTATGGTTGTATTTGAAAAGAGGGAATTACTATCCCTATTTTCAGGACTTTTATTTATTTCATGAATTGACAAAACCAAAGTACTAGTAATTCAATGTTTTTAATTCTCGAGTGCTGAGAAATCCTAATACTTTCATTAGTAGTAAAATTAATATAATTTTTTCCCCGATTTTTTACCACTGCACTGCACTAATAAAAAACAATATAGCGGCGAAAAATCGGAAGGTGA